CCACATACTATATTATGCCTCACTGTCAACCTGTCAAATTGATGAACGTGACTTCCATATGTGAAAGTAAATTGAGTAGCTGATGCGATAAATACCTACTAAAACACTGTCTGTGATTTATGTTTGAATTGCAATCTCAGAAGATTAATATTTGATGTTGGTGTGGGCAACAAAATTAAGAAAATCCTAGTTTATGAGTGGCAGCTTTCTTCTTTTCGGCAATACCTCATTGAAGAAATGTAATGCAATCGCTCTGCTAAAAATGCACTTTCTTTGTGACCTCATCAACGTGAATTTTATTAATCGGTCTCGCTTTCGTAACAGATTCAAGAGCGAAAGAGTTTCTTCATTCCACTTTTAAGAGTAATCCTTTTACTAGGACCATAACATAAAAGAGAAACGATGATACCATTATAAAGCCATTTCGAGATAACATTGCAACATTCTTTTAGTTTTCATCGCATTAATAGATCTATTAAAATGATAGAAGTTTTAAGCGTTACATTCTCTGATATTGCAAGCTTGTATGCGGTACCATCATTACAAAGTAAGGAACCTGAAATCAATTCCCATTTTGTTATTTTTATGAATTATTTTGGCTTCAGGGATAAATACAGATTTGGTATGAGTGAAAAAATATTATAATGATTTCTTTACCAGATTAATAAACATTTTTTGGAACTAATAACTTGTGCCCATTGCGACCGTTTGCTTTACTCTTCTTTCAGTTGTTGTTGTTGCTAAGGTATTAAACTTATAAGGTTAACAAGATAGTGATTTATATTTTCTCACTGAACTTACTCTTTATTTCAATTTTCTCCTCGAGTGGCGAGTCAGCGGTTCTGTTTTTAAAAAAAATAGCGCGGAGGTCTTAAGTTGTTACCATTGTTTTTCACAAAATCTGAAAGGAGTAATTAGCCTTTGTAAATAGCGGTGCGCTTGGTCGTCTCAACAATTTAAAAAGTAGTCTTTATAGACAAGTACTTCTCCGGTGGTGGGGTGCTTTTATTATTTTTCAGGAAAGGGAGTATGGAGGATAGCGACATTTTGCTAAGCCTGCTGCGTAGATATTTCCATAGAAAAGAAACAGACGTGGAGCCGTTGAATCAGCTTTTAGTAGAAAATATAAAAGTGTAGGAGGTCATAATATTTAATATTTTTGATTGTATTGTTTGTAGTCCTAGAATATTACTTTGGATAATAAGAACACGTCGCTGATCAAAGATTTTATTCGTTAAGCTGTCAAACATGTAGTTGACTCAGCAAGTATATAAATATTATATATGTTACCAAAGACCACCTGGCAAATCTACGGAATAAAATAGACATTACAGAGATGAAAGGCGAGGTTATTAACATTGTGCCATTGAGATCTCTATCAAAAGCAAGAAGAAAAAGAAAATGATTTTTTTTATCGATTCCTTCATCCGGTGTCATATTATCAGATTGATGATTGTAAAACACAGCCACAATGGTGCAGATGTGGATGACAAGTGCTTTCGATTGAGCAGTCATAGAAAACATCTACAATGTGGAACGAAAGTAGTACACGGTTGCAAGATCTTGTTGAAATGGATGTTTAATTGCCATTTGATTTAATTGATTGTACAATGAAGAGTGAACATTGACTGCGTTTAACTGAAGCGATATGAAACATGCAAACAAAACATTATTGTTTTGCTAATTAGTTTAATTCTATTTGTTATACTTTCTTATAGTAGATGATGATGTCATTAGACGTGACACGAACGTAAAATCAATCTGTATTGAATGTTATTTTCCTCTCCCGTGAACCACAAACTATAGGTATCATTTTACATTGCCGAAAGCATCGTGGTCATTAATGGTAATGCTAAAATTCAGTTGATATATATTTAACACATACAAGGATAGAGTATCACAGGTTCTATGGTTCCAGCTCTTCTTAGATGGGTCAACAGAAAAATTCATCATCAGTTTCCGTTAATAGGAACAGCAGAATCTTCCCGATATTATAAACGATGTTATTTTTTGTTGTCAAAAATAGGAAGTTTTGTGACTTGGATACCTTTCTCGCATACGATTTCTTTTTTTAATAGAGTTTTATTTTCATTTGCATGATAGAAAGGCAAACATGTCAGGAATCATAATTCTGAATAAACTTTGTAAGGCATACTATTTCCATATTCTTAGTTTTTCACCCTATCTCTTAGACACTACTTTCAGGTGAGAGAATTGGGCAGCAACAATACCATCGTCGAAAACCGATCACGACATGATTCACATCAGCTGAAGTTCTGATTATTCAATTTGGCTCAATTTGCCAATAAACTGAGAAAATTTCGACGCGCATATACAAATCAAAATGACACTTAGCTCTACATCGAAAGCAATATTGCTTTCTACAAATCGAAGAACTTCAAAAGTTTTAGGTCACTTGGAGAAAAAAGTCTCCGTTTTGAACAACGTTCGCCAGTTACAAGCCGAAAAAACGCCCAGTTTAGATATTTTATTGAGCCGTTTATGTCTGCTGTAAATTGAAATGGATATTTTTTTTGTTACTAATGTTCACGAATCTGAATAACACCTTAATTAGTACAACCTAGTTTTACCCTGACACACTTTTGACATGACGCAAAGAGATGTCATTCGATTTTACCTCAATTGAAATATCGATACGTTTAGTTTTTTCTTGAAGAGTTATTTATAAAATCATTTATTTGTGATTGTATTTTTTAACTATTGCAAAAATTTAGAGTAACGGAGGCAAAACGTACAATTTATTCTAACAGTCGCAGTAAATATACTTCAGCTCTGTAGAAAGCATATGCAACAATTCTGAATCAACGTATTTGAAAATTAATAAATACAATGAAAAAGTGACTGACAATTTGACAGCTCATTCTGGGACACGTGACAGTAACGTTATCTGTTTTATACAATATACAAGCCTGACCTGCTTGAACACATTCTTCAGACACGTAATCTGTACCGCAACATTAAAAGTGTGAAATTATACGTATAATGTTTGACGCACTCTGATAGCAACGACATTTATGATCGTTTGCTGAGGAAGATCATTCGACAACAACGCCACAAAAAGGCTTTTCACAGCAATATTGATCACTAGAAGAAAATTATCTCAAAATGTTATGTTTTATCCAAAGATCTTTATTGGCATTAATCATAATCATAAGCATCCAGTTTAGAGAAATATAAATAGTGTAATAATACTCATGACACCTCAGTTTACCATTAAAGTATGAGCATAGTTTATACCTAGACAATTTTCAGTAAGAACATCATGTGACCTATATGAAATCATTATATTCTATTGCGAAGCAGGTGTGATTTGAGCTACACCTTTTGATGTTAAAATTAGAAATAGTTTTACTTTATTAAATCTATGCTATGAGCACTTATATCAATCAGTAGTGGATACAATTATTATTTGCAATGTGTACATACATACATACATACATACATACATACATACATACATACATACATACATACATACATACATACATACATACATACATACATACATACATACATACATACATACATACATACATACATAAAAATAGCATGCATTTAAAGTGTTGGTATAAAACAACTTGATATACCAATAGCATCGTTTCTTTTCGTACAAAGAATATCTGATTGGTTTAATCATTCAACGTATTTCATTCTGACCCAGAACTTCACATTGCAATGAACTAGAACATTTCTTAAGTTGTAGATGCATCACGTTCTTGTTTCTAGACAGTATTAGAGAGTATTTGAGAATTTTTGGCAGTGTTTGGGTATATTTGGATGTATTTGGGTAAATATTGCCGCCGCTCAACCAAGGCCCACAAAACGGAAACGTAGGAGAATAATTGGAAGTGATACTGACACTCAATAGGAATAGGGGAAAATGGACAGAAATGATATCAACGAAATGTACTTAAGGTTAATTTGTTCCATTACCGCTTGTTCCTTCATAATTTTGATGCTTTTGGCTCGAATCGGTGTCTACCCATAATTGTAAATGACCGTCCTGTTACTATTCATGACGACGAGCGCTGCATATTCAATATTGGCATGCACGTTTTTAAACATCTAATTTAATGTTAACTGTTAGCCTTGTGTTTTCAATTCATTTAATATTGCTAAAAGAAACATAAAGCAATTAATATGAATTAACTATTTCAACTATTGCAAACACTCTGAGTAACGAAGGCAAAGCATACAATTTATTCCAATAGTCGCTTTTCATATACTTCAGCTCTGTAGAAAGAATACACCACCAGTCTGAATCAACGTATTTGACAACCAAAGCATATAATGACAAAACTTACTTTTAGTTGGATATCTCATTGTGAGACACGTGATCAATAACGCTATCTGTTTAATCCAATAAACAAGCCTGACCCGCTTGCGCACATTTTTCAGACACTTGACCTGCATTGCAGCTCTAAAAAAGTGAAATTACACCTATAATGTTTGACGCACTCTGATAACAACGCTCTTTATGATCTCTTGTGACGGAAGCTCATTAGACAACAACGCCTTAGAAAGGTTTTTCACAGGAATATTGAACCCTAGGAGAAAATTATATCAAAATGGTAAGTTTTATCCAAAGCCATTTATTGGCGTTGATCATAATCAGGCATCTTGCAGTTTACACGCTGCTGAGAGGATGATAAATAGTGTATTAATACCCGTCGCACCTCAGTTCACCATTATAGTATAAACATAGTTTATACCTAGGCAATTTAAAGTAAGGGCAACATGTACCCAATATGAAATCATTGTATTCTATTGCGAAGTAAGTATGATTTGACTATAGCTTCTGATGTTAAAATTAGATATGGTTATACATTTTTTACAAGCTAAGTAATTTCACTATGAGCACTGACATCTATCTATCTATCTATCTATCTATCTATCTATCTATCTATCTATCTATCTATCTATCTATCTATCTATCTATCTATCTATCTATCTATCTATCTATCTCTCTCTCTCTCAACCACTCCGGTTGCCTAGTGGTTAGAGCGTCCGCCTCGGATGCGGGAGGTTGTGGTTTCGATCCCCTGTCGAGTCATACCAAAGACTTATAAAAATGGTACTAACAGCTGCCTCGCTTGACGCTCAGCATTAAGATATTAGTGTTAGGGCTGGTCGGCCTGGTGTCAGGATAATGTGACTGGGTGCGACATCATGCTACATGTTTGCGGCATGATGCCCCAGTTCTAGACATCACACTAAACTGCCGCACTGCAGACATCGTAGAGATATGACTGAAAAATTGTTAAAGCTACGTTAAAAATTATAAACACCTCTCTTATTAATTATCGACATCATCCTTTCATCTGTTACTTTTCATTCAACGAGCATTATCGTTCTTTTTTCTCATTTTGTTTTACTTTACATAATGAATTATACTTACTGGCATGGATTCCATATTATTTAAAATTGATACAGATACACTTATAATAAGTTGAGATTTTTTTGTTTAATATTTGTAATTGGATAAAAAGCTCAATAGTTATAGATATTTTGCATCTCTGATGTACGTGAGTTTTTAAGAAATGCCTCATTTGGTGCTAGAATCTAGATTTGTACAACTGTTGGTTGATGACTTCAAAACAGGAGCTGAATAATTTAAATCAAAATAGTTTGAAGTTCACAGAGTTGCTGAAGAACACTTCAACGTTTGCATTCGCAATCATAATTGTTTTTTCTGCAATGCTTCCTTCATTGATCTTGTTTTTAAACAATTCCATTTTAGGGCTCCAGAACAACATTTTTCCTTCCAGAGAGATTTGATATAAAAAATTTCTGTAAGGATATAACAATTAAATGCAAAATATTATTGAAAGGTAAGACAGGACAGATAAAATCCTACAAATTCTCTCGATCCCTGAAGTAATGTCAAAACTGGTGTGACATTTATGGGACTCGCACAATAAATTGCACATTGTGAGGAAATTATTAATTTCAAAATTATATCAATGTCAGAGTCGTGAAACGTATAAACAAATTTGTGCGCGGAATTGATTTTCTGATACGATTTGTTCAAAAATATAAAATCGTGTTAACTTTTCAGCGCGATTGGGCCAACAAGCTCGATTGGGCTTAATAAACGACAGATTTTAGTAGATAGAAAGGGATATTCCACCAGTGAAGTGAGAAAAGTATTAACTCGAGTGACTTCCCTTATATCTACATAGAAAAACGTAGAATCGACTTCATGAATAAATTTGGATTTACTGTCAATTTCTCGCCGGCAATTGCTTGCCAGTCAATTGCTCGTGGTTAATTGCTCGTTATGACATTTGCTCGCGGAATGTACTGCTCGCCAGTCAATTGATCGCGAGAACAATAGCTCGACGGTTAATTATTCTCTTTGAAAAGTGCTCTAACAGGTGTAACTGTTTTTGAAATATACTTAGCGGAATAATAATAATTTTAATTATTGTCTATTGTCTACTCAAATACATTAAATAAGGGCCTCAACAGATATATAAAGCAGGACAAAGGCTACTTTTCTCAAATATAAATATTAACTTACTAGAAATTTACTAATAACATTTATATATTAAATATTATAATACAATTTGTTTTTTAAATGGCTCTAATATTTGCGACAAGCGAGAAAGGTAAGCGCAGACTTATTGATAATTATAATGGTCATGTATACATCATAGATAAGTCTAACGGTGAAAAAAACTTTTTGGGAGTGTGAATATTCTAGAAGCAAAAGGTGTCATGGCCGAGCTCATACGATTGGAGATAGTATTGTGACAAGGATTGGAGAACACAACTATTCTGGCAGTACATGTAGAGCGGAAGTTTTGGATGTCATCCATAACATTATTGACAGAGCAGTCACCACACAGGATGGACCGCAGAACATTATTGCATATGCTTTATATCTTGCATCTCAACCAGCACTCGGTCAGCTAACAAGCGTCAACAAGTTGAAAAGAGTGATTCGACGTGCACGCAAACGTAAAGGAGCAATGCCAGCAAATCCCTTGTCGTTGCAAGACTTAGTTATACCAGATGAGTTTAGGAAAACTCGCAAATCTCAAGACTTTTTATTATACGACAGCGGGCAAGGTGACAAAAAACTCTAATTTTCTCTACTCATCGAAACTTGCAACGTTTAGCAAGATCACAGCACTAGTATGCTGACGGAACGTTTAAAACTGTTCCAATATTATTTACTCAGTTATACACTATTCATGGACTTATTAACAATAATATTGTACCTGCTGTTTTCATTTTAATGTCGGAAAAAAAACTGAGGAAAGCTATCGAATGGTTTTCAGCAAACTGAAACAATTGGAGCCATCGATGAGACCGATATCGGTGATGACCGATTTTGAAACGGCGACTATGAAAGTCTTCCAGCATGAGTTTATTGGAAACACCTCAGAGAATTTTTTTTTTCATTTTTGTCAGTGCCGATACAGAAACATTCAATCAAACCGTCTTCAATATTGCTATGAAAATGATGTAGATTTTGCTATGCAGATGCGCCATTTACCAATTCTTGCATTTGTTCCTGTTGAAGATGTAGTTCTAGCATTTGAAGAATTACTTTCACGTGTCGATGTTCCTTTGGAATCACAGTCAGTACTTGACTATTTTGAAGATACATGGATTGGACGACCTACACGAGGCATCACACGTCGACCGCCAAGTACACCACACTCAAAGTGGAGTTGTTGCGAGAATATTAACGATGATCTTCCAAAGACGAACACTAGCTGTGAAGGATGTCACCGATCGTTTAGCGAGTTGTTCGGTGGAAGTCATCCAACTATATGGAAAGTTATAACAGTTTTGCAAAAGGAAGAAGGCCTAAATGAAGCTAAAATTGAACAATCATTTGCTTGGCAACCTATACAGCCTCAAAAGAAGAGATACAGGGATGCAGCGTCCAGAATCAAAACGATTGTTGAAACTTATAAAGAAATTTACTTGATGGATTACTTAAGAGGTTTGTCGCATACTTTGTCGTTTTAATACGTGATATAAAAGTTTGGTATATACACGTAATTTTAAGATACTTGTTGTATAACTTGTCTTTATTTTTAATAAATGTTAAACAAGTATTAGTCGTTTGGTTCTTACTAATAATGTTAACTTATTCAGTTACAATTGGCGATCAATACACCTGCGAGCTATTGTTCTCGCGATCAATTGACCTGCGAGCAGTACATTTAATTGTTATATTCGCCGTAAAGTCATTTCTCGTTTCCCAGAAAATGTACGAACTCTTGTATATTTTCGTCTGTAAAGACTCTTCACTTTGAATTGACATATACATGCTGTAAGAACTATTTTCAACATGTATTGAACTCTGAATGTGTTAGCATTTAAGTGTGTATACATTAAGCCTTTAATAATATCACTTTCGTTCTTTAGATGCTAGATTATAATATTTAAGATACTCCCTGAACTTGCATGCATCTAAACATTTTGTTTCAGAAATCAGAATAAAAACAAACAGATCTCAAGGTTGTGTTTTCTTTATTTCTTCCTGATTGAGGATATGATTCATATTAGGGATTGTAAGCAGCCAGATATTTTCCGTAATATCTCAGGAGCATTGCTGAGACTTTAGTCTCGGTACAGAATGCGTTAGGGAACCACGGGTTTCCCCAACAACGACATAGTTTAGTCCCAATCACTTTTTCTTCCCCGTATCGAATAATGTACTTCCCGTATGCGCAAGTGTTCCCTGCAATTAGAATAATAAACGTTACAATTTAAAGGATATATTCAAGAAAAGTTATATATATATATATATATATATATATATATATATATATATATATATATATATATATATATATATATATATAGTTTTGTATTGTTGATATCACATCGTGTTACATATACTTTATATGATTCTGATTTGTATCTCCCCTCTCTTGATTGGCTGCAATTGTGTGGAGAACTATTTATCCTCACCTTGTGGAGTCTTTTAAATAATCATTTCGCTGCCAATTTCTTTACTCGAGCCTCAAAATGGAATTGGGGAAAAAAAATGTTCTTGTATTTCTGAATATGGGCAGTTTAACCGCGCAAGGGTTTGTTATGTCGTTTACAACAAATCGTCAAATGAAATATCGCGTACAACCTCAATTTATGTTTACGACCGACGTTTGAGGTGGAGTGGGGTAGGGCGGTATGCTTGTAACATGGAATCCACCATATAATAAAACGTGATTTCAATGTTAACGTACAGAAAAAAATAAACCCATATCCGTACGTAGACGAATTTGGATATACACCGGTCTAAATAATGACAGAAGTATATCCAACAATAGCATACATCAAATTATCACAAACACATTTCAGTAAATATATAATGTTTCGAATACAATAATCCTCCTTTCCCATGAATATTTCAAAAATGTTACCTTTATTACTGAAAGTAGCACAATAGGATAAACTTGGATCGTCAACCTACTTTAACCGGTACTGTTTCCAAATAATGTCTCAAAATTGGTGAAAAAGAAATTGTGTCTATATAAAATTTTCTGTTTATTCTGAAGAACACGTGTTCTTTGATTTCTAGTGTTTTAAAAGAGTATAATCTACTTTTAATTGTTTATGCTAGCTCTACTTCAATTGGGACTCTTACCCACAACAATGAAAGGTTCATCGTCTGTCAGAACGAACTAAATTGTACTATCTCCATTATAACTAAATAATTTATAATTTCCACTGAAATAATTATGTGATAAAAAGAATTTCAAATCGATAATCATTTAACATAAAATTTATGAAATTTGTTAAATAACGTGTATATATATATATATATATATATATATATATATATATATATATATATATATATATATATATATATATATATATATATGCATGCATGCAAACATACATACATACATACATACATACATACATACATACATACATACATACATACATACATACATACATACATACATACATACATACATACATACATACATACATACATACATACATACATACATACATACATACATACATACATACATACATACATAGTCCAAGTTATATATGTAATGATATTTTCTT